AAAACACAGTACGACCAAGAAGAAACAAGAGAGCCAGTTAATCCTGATTCAGCAAGCAATGCATTCTTTCGGTTCAATCAGTTGTCCTTGAAATCTCAGCCTTTATAAGCACATGGTCATGGTCAGAGAGACAATGCATGCCACAAAGGGAAGCTACCATTTACTGTTCCTCAGTTTTCAAACATAAAGTAACCTTTCCCAGGACTTATGTTTGTGGCTTTTAACAGTCACTGATATGGTGTCAGATGAGATCTCAGAGCCATGACTCAGAATGCAAACTTCTTCATTAGTCCAGACAAAAGAGCTATACAAGCTAAAAAGGAAAAAGGAAGTGGCGTATGGCATTCAGTGCTGAGTGTGCACATGAAAAAAATCCAGTAAGTCACATTTTAACACCACAAAAATGAAACTTTTGGTCATTATTTACTGCCAAGAGCCCATGGACAAATGAGCAAAGGCTTAACCTCCTGGGCCAAAAAACAAACAAAAAACGGCCAAGCCAAAAATGGCAAAATAGTTATTGGATTTTTTTAACTGTTTTAAATCACAAATCACTGGTCAGGAAATAAGAATAAATTGCATAAACAGCACATTTACAGTCTGTAACAACTTACAGACAGTTTTTTAAAGGAAGAACAGTCAGTGTGGATTCACACTTCAAACAGTTCATAGTTGAAAAATGTCTCCCAGTTCGTTTGAGTTTAATGTGAGACCAAATATTCACTATAGGGTTCACATCTGGACTCTGACCAGCTCAAAACATGAGCCCTGATGAACTTTATTCTCAGTGTTGTCTTTAAGATTAGAACAATTTTTCAAATGTGGGAATCAAGCCATTCTGCAACATTCTCCTATGCTCTAAAGCATTAAATGATCTTTCACAGGAAAGTCGCTCACCAACACCAGCAGCTAAAAAGCTCCCCACACAATGACACCTCTTCCCCCATGCTTCAAGCAATTATTATTATACTTATCAGCAGATTTTCAAAGACAGTGCTCTAGAGCATCAGTGAATCATCACTTCACACGCAACTTCCCATATTCTGCCAAAAACTACATTCTGTTCTAGCTGTTTTAAGAAGTGCATTTGCTTAAATTGAGCTTATCCATTTAAGACGAACGAAAAATATTCATGTTGACTCAATAAAAAAAAAATGGTAAACCCAATTTTTTAAAAGATTACATTGATTATATTTAATGAAATTAAGCTGGAATCATTTCTATGAAGGATTGTGTCATATTTGCTCATTTTAATTAATGAAATTGAACAAAGAGCTAAAATAATTTTTTTGGAGTGTGATTCATGACCCAATAATTTGTGGTTATGACAATAAAAAGCTTAGTGTTTAATCATTTTGGGCATGTTTAGCTTTTTACTGCTGCTGATTGTATTTAGACTTCGAAATTCATAGACGATGTGTTCATTTGTGAAGACTATCATGATGAACAAAAAGAGTAAGAATCATAAACTTTTGTTGGTAACATGCACTCAATAAAATAACTCTTTGAATGAACATAAAAAAAAATCAGGGAAAGGTTTTCCACGTAATTAACTTGCTTTATTTCATCATTACGCAATACTGTTATTCCAATTGAATGTACTTACGTTGAGTCAACTTAATGTACTAAGGTTGATTCAACTTATTTACTAGGGCACAGCTTAATTTAATATTGTCAGTGAATTTAAAAAGGCTCCCTGATATGATTCAGGTATTCAAATTCATGATATTCATTCATCCAATACAATAAAATGTTTTTTTAATGTCACATTAATATATTTCCACAGGATAAGTATTAACTACCGATAGCACTTGCATTGCATCTTCAATTATAAGATTTACATTCAAGTTTTCAGCCTGACCGGGCTCCACTCTTCTCCGCAATGGGAAGCCAATGTAATTTTAATGGTACTAATAATTGCAATGTATTGAACATTAAACACAATTACACACTATAAATTCTTCCCCTTTTCTCATTTTCTCAAAAACACATAAAAGAACACTTAATTTAGACATTTATTCTCTCTTAATTCAGTCATGTACAGCAAGCTGGGAACTAACAAACACAGCCGAGTTTCAGTTAATGCAACACAAATCATTCAGTTAATCCAACACAAATGGATTAAGTAAACTTAAATTTTACATATTTAAGTAGATTTAAACACAATCAAATTAAGTTTGGACAGCATTTGTGTTGCTTAAGTTTGTTTTAATTAAGCAATTTCGACAAGCAGCAAAAATCATTTATAATCGCTGCATGCAATCATTATTTCTTTAATCATTCATAAAGCCAATCAATGGAGAAATGTCAATGGGAAGTGGCAACTACACGATTCAAATAAATACTAGTTTAAATTAGTTATAATTTCTTAAAAATCCTTACTTTGTCAAAACACACTGGGTTATAGAACTAAGGTATGAAAACAGGTCAAGGGCTTTGTAATAATTTCAGTCTTGAACTTAATCATCTGGTATGTAATCCCAAACGTTCATGCAGTCGCTGCCCCAGCTCAAAATTAACCAGCATATTCCATGAATTCCAATTCCCCGGGGGCTGCCATGGTTACACAATCACGACAGTAATCCACAGCTTAAATAGTTCAGTAGGTTAAGCACGCCCATCAAAGCAATAGTTTGACGACCGAACAGGCTCTGATGAGGGTTTGCCCAAGTATAATGAGGCCCTGTAATCAGTGCTGAGTTGACCCATGCCGGTCTCTAGCATTGACCTTCCCTGTTACAGCTCTTTAACTTTTAAAGTAGACACAAGACTGCCAGCCAAGCTGAATATATGTGACGGCAATAACTAGCTAATCGGCCAGAGAGTAATCTGTTATGATTAGACCCTGGGGTCTCATATGTTTACAACAAAGGACATCTGATTGTTAAAAATACATTTGTATTAAGCAATGATTCCCAAACTGCTAAATGTATATGTAATATAGGCCTAAGGGTCATTTTAAAAAATGTCTGGGTCTAGGTTTAAATTTTAGTTGAGCCCAGGGGCCTATACCATGAAGCCGGTTTAGGTTTAGTTTGTGCCAACCCTGGGTTTTTAGGTACATCGCCATAGTAACTTGCGCTCCACGGCTAACCTGCTCCGGGGCAGGTTATGTTCCAGGTAAGAGGTTGCAAACCAAACTTGTCTTGGACCAATGACGCGATAAAGTCACTCCACAGAAAATAAAAGACAAAAATCATGGCTTTTAGTAAATAAATTTGTATGATTTAGAAATTATTTCTGTAATTATTATACCCTAAAACTATCTCACATGTACAATTTCAGTTCATCAATTATTATTACGCAGATTTTACATGAATACGTATAGAAAGGTAATATAAATACGTTTTAGAATCAATAAATGAAGCTATAAAATGACAACATGTGAGCTTAAATGTTCAATTCTCTCTATACCTTTATCAACCAACTTTTACTTGCACTAATATACAGCAACAAGACTTTCTTTTAGTTGTCCTCTTTCACAGCAGCTATTTTCTTCTTGCTGTATAAATTTGTTTGAATTCTTAATATTTTAACACTTTTATTTAATACACTGTAAAAAAATATTGATGGTTTAACTTAAAAAAAAGTAAGTAACCTGGTTGCCTTAAAATGTTAAGTTCATTGAACAAGAAAAAGTGAGTTAATACAATGACGGAGAATAATTTAACCATCAGAAACTCAAAATTATATGTTATCTGAACTAAATCAATTATTTAAGTTGATTTGATAAAAGAAAAAATGTTGTGATTACTACACTGTAAAAAATATTGTTGGTTTAACTTAAAAAAGTAAGTAACCTGGGTTGCCTTAAAATTTTAAGTTGATTGAACTGGAAAAAGTGAGTTAATACAATGAAGTAGATTAATTTAACCATCAGAAACTCAAAATAATAAGTTATCTTAACTAAATAAATTATTAGAAAGTTGATTTGACAAAAGAAAATGTTGTGATAACAAATCTTGAAAATATTTTTTACAGTGTAGGTGAATTGCGCCACTTCTCTCGCGAGAAATTAATTTGAATGAGTTTCACTGTTTCTCAGCATGTGATTGGCTGTTTGCTACTGATGCCACACCTAAACTCAGGATCAAAGCCTGAGTTGACATTGACAATGAAAGTTGATGGTACCAACAAAGCCTGGTTGGATTGGTTTGGTTTTGTCAATTTGAAACTAATCCAGCAACCCTGAGTTTGTTCAACTACTATCATGGTACAGGCCCCAGGTTATGCATCAAGCCCAAAACAAAAACAATACTACAAAAAAAAAAAAAACTAATTGTGGACGGAACTGAACCCAGCATTTGAAATACTCTCCAGTCTATGCATCCACCCCATTACCATAATATTGTCAAAAAAAAAAAAAATCCTAATTGTGGACAGAACAGAACCCAGCATTTGAAATACTCTCCAGTCTATGCATCAACCCCATTACCATAACACATTCCTCCTTTAGTGCCGCCAGTGCAGCAGAGGAAATATTGACCCGTCCCTCCTACAGATGAGTCTCTGTGGGGAACTCTGAGGAACACGATTGGCAGCCCACTGATGAATGCTGATTACAGCATCTCTCAGTCAGTCGTTAAAACAACCTGCCAGAGTCACCACGGCACCCCCTTTATCTCAGTGTCAACTTCCTGGCTCCACAAACCATTGTGAGTCATCAAAGGCAGTGTAGCACTTGAATGCCAATGACCACACGAGGAGGGGGTCCAGACAAATGAACTAGAGAACTTTTCATAAGACCCTCAGTGGAGGCAGTGAGCAGACAGTATCCCTGCGAGGGGTCCGAGAGTGTATGGGGCCTCTGAGTGCTGGATTTTACGGATGGTTTTCAGTTTAATAATGTGACCACATTTACAACTAGGGTGATGTAGTAAAGATTGACAAGATACAACTGGTGCAAAAGAGAACAAACTTTCAAAATAATGAAACCAAAATTAAATTTGTTGTTGATGACTCCAGGATTAGAAAGACACAAAGCACTAAAACAATAAAAAGATTGCATAAAGTATCATATTTTATTTATTATTTTTGTGCAAGGAAGACTGTGGCTACATTCAGTCACATAGAAGAGTGGTCCAATCAAATAAAAAGATTTTTTTTTCCCTTTAATTTCTAGCAGAAATTCATTTCTCAATTATTTTTAAAGAAATATATTTTTATATATTCTTAAATCAGTTTTCACAAGTAAATCTTAAAAACCATATATTGTTTCACCCCAAAATGAATAAGAATAACTACATTGTTTTTTGCTTAAAATTAAGCATTTAATTACCATAGTGTTTTGTCTTTTGTCATATTATTATTTTCCATATTTTTTTTTTTACTATATTACAGCAAAGACACAATTACGAATAGTGGCCAATAATAATAATAATAACAATTACCAATAAAAGTAAACTCATGGACACATTATAATATTGAGAATGTCTAGGGGGAAATGTGGTTAAATGGTCATGAATATAACAAAAAAAAATAAAATAACCAAATGTAATGTAAATCAAAAAGAGTAAAAAGAGTCTTTTTTTGGTTTTGGGGTTAAGTGAGACATGTTTTCCTGAGGTTCCCTCTTTTATTATTATTATTTAAATAAAAAAAGTTCCCTGATTTATATTAGTAATTTTAAAAAAAAAGATTAAAACCCCTTTTTTAGAGTATGCACTTCAGCAAGCTCAATATTTTGGCCTCCCGGCCCTCGCCATACACTGCAAGTAGGTCTCTCGATCCAAAAAGTGCACAGCACACACCTGAACCATTTTGCAAATACCCTCACATGTGATGTTTAAGTTATAGCTCACCATAAAATGGTTAAAATACTTCTCAAAGGCTTTGCTCTGTGGCTGCTCGAATCTAAGAGCAAGTTCATGTAAGTTGTGGGGCTGAATGTCTTCAATATCAAAAGCCTCAGTCATAATGTATTCCAGCTTCCACTCTGACCTTTTTTCCAGGTTTGCTTCAGTGAGATTTAAATAGAACTGCCAAATATCCTGTGGAAGAAAAAAAAAAAGAGAGTGATTACTACAAGAGATACAATAGAAGAGCCATGCTTTGAGCCGACACCTTGATTAAAACACAGACCATGTGCACGACCATTAATCATTCAGAAACAGGACTTGCTCAAGGAAGAGACATATTAGTGGTGCAGGAATGACCTCACACAAAAAAATATTTTCACATGTTTTAGAATTAAGCCAACTATTTAGCTCTAAACCACTCAGAATATCATAATTAAAAGACATTTTAACACAGTGTCCTGCCTAATATACGGAAGCTTTTTTTGCATCAGAATACAAAAAATAGGTAATAGCGTCTTTTTATCTCACAAATCTGAACTTTTTTTTCTTGCAATTGCGAGTTTATGTTTCATAATTCTGAGAAAAAAAGTCAGAATTGCTAGTTATAAACGTATAAATTGCGATATCTAAACTCGCAATTGCAAGAAAAAATTCAGAAATGTGACGTATAAACTCATTTTGTAGTTATCGTTCTTTGTGTGAACGGGCCTTGAAACTCTACATTGCAAAAAAAAAAAAAGTTTTGTGAGATACAAAGCATTTTAACTGTTTTATTCCATGATGGAAGCAAGCTTCCATACTAATAATTATAAGTTTGTTTTAATAATTCTAAAGGCATGCTAAATAAATCAGTGCTTGAACTTGCTAGTAGGTGGACACTTACCAGTAAACCATAATTCTCAGGGTGGTACAGATACGCGCGGAGGCCAGGATTGTTCGAATATGGCTCCGATAGACTTTTGATAGGTGTAACAGCAGGTGTGACAAATATAGAGTTCACAGGTTTCCCTTGAACAGATGAATTGATGGTACATAAATCAGAATGGTATATACTGTATATGTACACACACATATGTATTTTATTTTAACTAAGTCAACAGTTCAGAACTAAACAACAATTTTTAAATCTCTTATTAAAAACATTTATGTATTGTTATGTTACCTTTGTGATCCAGCAGAACCATTATGCTGTCTCGATGAGTGTGACCGTAGAATTGACCCTCGACGACGTCACTGTAGTTGCGAAATATTTTGACCAGTTGTTCATTGTAGCTTTCTCGGATGGCTGTTGTATTTATAGCAAAGGGTAGGTAACCGATGGGGACGTGAGCAATTACATAGACCTCAGAGGAACAGATGACAGTGAAATTCAACTCAGCAGTCACTCACACACTGCTGATGTCACTTACATGGACATACCACTTTGCAAATCTTAATTTACAGCCTTATAACAAAATGGCCTCTTATGATCAGTGCAGCGGGCTCTTTCTAAAATTAAACTGTCTTGGTAAAGCAGACAGAATATTCTCACCTTCTCCATGTTTTGTCTTGAGAGCTCAAGCGTTTCCTGCAGCCACTGGAACTGCCCAGCAGGATCAGACATATTTACAGTCACTTCATTAGGACTGTAGTACAGGTTTGTGTTGAGACTCACCAGACGTAGGCCAGGTTTGATCACAAGAGAGTAAAAGCCACCTTCATGCAAACACGCAACATATGAAAGGTATTAGCTCACTATATTGTCACAGAGCTAAAGGCCACTGTTGGCACCATGCATAACAGTAACATAGTGAAATGTGTGTGTGTGTGTGTGTGTGTGTGTGTATAATATATATATAGCACACACACACACACACACACACATACACACACATATATATATATATTTAAGGATGCACCAATATGAAAATCTTGGCCGATACGATAATTCTTTGAAAGCCGATAACCGATATATCGGCCGATAAATGTAAATCCACATTTTTAGATCATTTCTGCGAGCCCGATTACAAAAACAAAAGTCTCACCATTAAAAGCCATGACCCAAACACACAATTCTAATGTTCTCATTATAATTTTATGCAGCTTATTTGACAGACTTGTGCTGCACATGTTGCATTGAACTGTATTTTCCTTTTTTGAAGTGATTTCAATCATATTTCAAGCAATTCAAAACCATGATGGTGAACAGTGTGCATCTGAAGTGTCTCAGCTCAAAGAAATATTCCATTATTTATCAGCTTTAATATATCGGCTAAATTTAATTACCGGTCAGATAACGATAAATCATCATGCATTGGGTGATACCGATATGGTGGCCAATATATTGTGCATCCCAATATATATTAGTGACAAAAACAGTGGCTAGATTAAAAGTGGCTAGAGTCACTGTCACTTTGCATCGACCAATCAGCATCCAAAATTCCCAAATAATATAGTAATTTAAATGTTCTCATTCATGACTTCTTTATCTGCAGTTACCTTTTTGCAAAGTTGCTACAGCTGCTGGGTTCAACCACGGAGACCAGAGTTTGGCTACAGCATCGTAAATTGCATTTTGAGATGTGGGCAACTGATCCTAGAATGATTTAAAGCAAGATTAGACACACACACACACACACACACAAAAGCATAAAATATTTTAATATTCAAAATAGCATACTACACTTTACTTTTTGAGTAAAACATCTCTCTCTCTCTCTCTCTCTCTCTCGCTCAGTACAGTATACAGTATAAATATAGAACCAGGTGACTCTTATATAGAACCCTTTAAGGGTTCATTTTATGGGTTTAGTTTCAATAAATGACTTTGAATCAATTAAATTTTGTGAATTGCATCATTATTTAAAGACGAGAGAGGAAGAACAACACGTCTCCACAATCATTGACAACAGTAAAGAAATATCTGAGACAAGCACTTAAGATGACTACAAATGTTTGCAGTGATACATCAGACATTATTTAATCATTAGTTAAAAACTGATCCCACAATGCAATGCATTGACCATTTCTATTTTCATAAAGGAAGCAGAGTTAACATCAGTAACAAATATGACATATTTTTCTTGATTTATGTTTTCATCAAATTGTCCAAAGATAAGGTGTTTTTAGTAAAATGTAATTAAAAATGCTTAACTGGATGCCACTCAATACCCCTAATGAAGAGATATGGAAATTGTTGAATAGTTTTATTGTCGCATAATTGTTTAAATGCATTTATATATATATATATTTTTCTTAAATAGACAACTTAAAAACATAATAATAATTTAAAAAAGTATAAATTTATATCTAAATACATTTTCAGTGTATGCTTTTCAGCAAGCAGTGTACAAATATTCCATTCAAACCACATACAAATGTCTTCCCTTTATCTGACTTGGCTATAACTCCAGGAGCTCTAGTTGCCCTTGGATTTGAAATACCTGTGGCCAGTAGTCGTGGTTTCCCAGGGCCGGGTAAACTGGTAGCTCTGGGAAGAACTGACGTATGGTGCGAGTCATATTGGCAATAACATTGATCACTATATCAGTGGAAAGCTCTTCTTTTGGGACGTGTGGAGGGCTGTCTCTGCAGTGAGGGGCACAACATTTAAATAAAAGTTAATAAGAAATCTTGAAGACCATGATGTGATCATTAGCACCCAAAATTCAATAATCTCCAACTGATTACACAGAACAGCTGCGAGACAAAAAGAGCATTTGATTTATACCCTGTCCATATAATGAAGTCAGGCTGGAGGTCTACTTGTTTCATGTAACTGAAGGCTGAGAGAATGAGCTGGTATGGGGAATCACACAGGAAATCTCCAAACACTCCTGGATCCAATGCAGGAACTCCCTTGGAGGAAAAACAAACTTTGGTGTGGTCTTCTGTGACATGGTAGGTTGGATCCAAGTGCAGGTCTGAGATATGCCAGAATTTAGCTGGAATTTAAAATGAGCGAGTTAAAAGCCATTTGACAAATATGCAAAACAATCCCCAAATATTCAAATATAATATATATATATATATATATAACAGTCAAATATTTTGTCCCATTCAGGAGCTATTTCACAGCAAATCAATTCTTAATTCATTCTTATATCGACTTCCTCATTTAAATATTTCAAAATTAATCTTGTTTGTTAGTTTGTTTTGGCCCAGTAGAAAGATACTATTGAACTCTTCCTCATTCATTTTATTTTGTTAAGAAATATTACGGTTGTCCAGCACAATAATACATCATTTTTGTTTAGGGACAACTTACTGGACCCCAACAAATCCACAAAATATTGAAAATAATAACATTAATTTAAATGAAATAAAAATGTACATAGTCAACTTCATAGTCAAATCATAAGTAATACACCATTTGATTAATCTTTGCAACTGAAAATTCTTTGTCTGTGTGCATGTGTGTGTTTTAATAACATTTGAATTACATTTCAAACATGAAAGCAGCGAAAAATCATTACGCATCATCAGACTAATTCAATATCCACATTAAATATCAACCTTTTCATTTTTTCACTTAACCACAGAAAATCTCATTTCAGCACGGCTTTTTAATGTCATTTAAATAATATGTTTCTTTCAGATGCATTTCCTTGACTATCATAATTTATTTACTTTGAGTGAACTAACCTGATTAAAAGGGTAATGTCAAGAGTGTGTTTGATTTTACAATATATAAATGACACTAACTTGATTATTATAAGATATTTCATTTATTTTCACTAATATCAGTTGATGCATGCTTATATATTTAAATGTTACAATTTATCAATACACGACCCTTGATGTTAAAGAGAGTATCAAAGTCCCAAACAGAACATACTGTAAACTAAATGCAAACATGGACAACAACACAACCTCCGACGAGGCAAGTCTGACTGTAAAACAGCCAATAAAAGACAATGCCAAAACATATGTAACGTGTGTGAGCGATAGATCAAACTAATGCATAAAGACAACTTCAGGCGGAGACAAACACCTTTGACAGCTGATCAGGCTCTGAAACACTTACATGCGCTCTGCAGGTGTTTGAAGACATTATTAACCGGCGCAGCAGAAACCTGCAGGTAAAAAACATGACTAAACACGCATAATAGAACGAGTAAAGTCATTCCTGCGCGTCTCAGTTTATATTATTACACCCTCCTGACCTGTCCTTGTGTAAACCATAGACTGTGCAATAAAGTATGGGTAAACCAAAACAGGAAAAGCGTCTCTCACGTGACGATTTGTTTTGCGCAACCTTCTGCAGTCACGCGCACTGATTGGTCATCACTGATTGGACATCACCTTACCAGTCTTTATTGCAGCCATCTTCAGAATTTTGGTTTTGAACTTCCGTTTATGCCTTACTTCAGTACTGGTGAAGTGTATTTGCTTAATGTAGGGATTTTAAAACGAGCGGTTAATTCATAAATCCGTAAGATCACCTTCATGTTTTGGAATTCAAACCGGAAGACAGAACACAATGCAGCGTTGGTCTATATTGGATAAACGTAAAATGTAGCTTATAAAAACAGCAAATTGTTTTGTTCAATAGAAACTGTACATTGTAAAATTACAAAACAACCAGAACCTGATATTTAGTGCTGAATTCACTTTTCGTTAACCATCTTAATATAGGCCTACGTACATTCAACTCATGAATGAACACACAAGTCATCATTTTTAACTGGTTATTTATTAAATGATTCACACTGACTGAAAGGTATTTTTTTAAATGATACAAAATATTGGTAGTCCATTCTTTCACAGATAAGATTTGAAGGAACCAAGTGCAAGTTGTGCTTTCAGTAAAGCATCAAAGCACGTCATATCCGTTGCTGCCCAGTGAAGAAGAAAAAATCCTGATATTCCCAAAATTTATGCTTTTTCATAGGTGCGCACAGCTACAACGTCCCCTATGGTGAGTTTCTGAAACAAAATTGAAATCAGCAAACAATAAAGTGCAAGTTATAAACGTAAAATGTCATGTTTTGTATATTAGCCAATCTGTATAGTTTTGACTGTCTTATTAGTTGATTTGTTATTTTGTTTATCAATAGTGCATGTTACATCCACCTGTTTGTTGTCTTATGCTTGGTCTAACTTTGAATTTGAGCTTGGAGAAACTTAATTTAGTTTTTCTGTACACTATTTGTCATATGGTTGGAATGACAGTAAAGCACTTTTATATAAAAATAGGCTACTGAATACTGCCGTAAAGAGCCTTACCGTCACCATCTTCCCATCCTTGATCTCCCGGACAAAGGTGGTCTCTTTGCTATTCCACTTCTGCACATGAACCAGCCGGTCTCCATCCATTACCACCGTGGACTGGTAAAAATAACACATTACTGCTTATTCATCTCAGAAAGAAGCTCTGAAATAGGAATGCATTGTGCCCAGTTGTAAGAGTTCCCATTAAACCATGTTATGAAGCAGAAACCTACTTTACAGTTTCGGTCGTCTGCGGTGGTCTCATCGAACTCCTCACCCAGTGTGAATGAGATCTCAGTGTTCTTAAAAGTACTCTGTGTTTTTTGGACCACTTTATCCCCCTCTTTCGAGATGATGATGGTTGGTTTAGTCACATTTCCAACTTGTCTTACTGCAAACCCAACACCTTAGAAAAGAATCACATTCATTGAAATATGCTCACTAAACCCATGGTTTTTAATAGGATGTGTCTGAAATTAAAACCATAATGGTAACATGTGTTAACATTAGTAAACTACACGGTCAACATGAACTTCTACATCATTTATGTTAATCTCAGCATTTACCACTACATTTTTAGGATCAAAAGTTGTATCTGCTGACATTAATGCACTGAACTAACATGAACATTTTTATTAACTAACATTAACAAAGGTTAATAAATCGGGATGAGACCTTATTATACTATTACCACTAGGGGTGTCACGATTCTCCAAATCCTCGATTCGATTAAGTTATCGATTCTAAGGTCACGATTCGATTCGATTCTCGATTTAAAAAAAAAATGTAAAGCGCAGATTGCTATGCAATTTTTAGACTACACATTTATGCATTATGCAATATAAATTTGTTCACAATGTACACTACACCATTGCCAAATTTAAAATATAACAAAAACAAGTAACATAACTTAATAGTATAACATTTAAAGCCCCTGAAATGACTAGAAAAAAAGTTTAGTTAATTTTGATGAACGAGATTGAACAATAGAGTCAGTAAAACGATCCGAACTTTCCATCACGGACGCGACATGGGGCGTGGCAGTATCGACGATACCATTTTTTATTTCGATTTCGATACCATTGAATTAATTTCGATCGATTTCGATTTAATATCGAAATCGTGACACCCCTAATTACCACTATAATAAATACAAAAGGAAAAGATCAGAAATAACAAACTATATTAATAATAGTTATTATGATCATAAAACTTACCTATAGCTTTCATATACTCATCAAAGTTCTCACTGTTGACCAGTTTCCATGTGCCACAGAAAGCCTCTACCATTTTCAAAACTAAGCTTTTCTGATCAATAAGCAAACACTAAACTTTATATTAATGCTCTGTAGAATATGTAGCTGCATTTTCTCTTTGCAAAGGATCTTAAATAGTTTTTGTTCAACTGCCTGAAAATGATTAAACATGAGTGGGAGGAGTCAGTATTCCTATTGGCTGTTAGTCGAAAGTGAAACATTTGATTGACTGTTGAGTTAGTAAATAAATGTAGATTATATGCAATAATTATATTTATGCACTAAATTGTAATTACAGATTTAATTGTAAACAAATCTACAATGCTAGTTTGTAGAAAATAAAATAAAATGCTTTGTTTAACTCCATTAACAGCAACAAAACAAGTAATATTGCACACATATACTCTATATTTTTGTTTATAAACCTCTTGTTTTTTGCCCCCTAAAAATAAAAAAATAAAAAATGATGTGCCCACACATTATAAAAGATACCTTTGGTGTCCTCTGCTGGTTAGATAAATTACCACCTCTGTTCCACGGTCCAAAAAATGTATAAACTACTAAAACTAAGCACGGGATTTATTGTAATTTTTAAACATAGCAGAATGCCATTTTATATGTAGCTTACATCAGACAAAATAACACAAGATTTATGGGCAGGTAAAAAATAAAATAAAAATGCAATTCTCTGGCAGAAGCATGACGAAAAAGACGAGAGAGGAAGAACAACACGTCTCCACAATCATTGCCATTGACAACAGTAAAGAAATATCTGAGACAAGCACTTAAGATGACTACAAATGTTTGCAGCGATACATCAGACAGCTAACAATCCAAATCCAGCTCACGCAGGGCAACACTGACAGCACAGAAAGGAAGGCTTTTAAACAAAACTAGCAAATATAATGTACAATTCTCTATTTACAAGAAGAAAATATCATATTTCATGTTATTCAGCACTGTTTCTTATCCTCTGGCTAGAATGTTAACAATGCATATCTTTACAATACAAAACACAGATGTGATGTTGTACAAGGACAAATATTGTAAGATAAAAAAAAGTTTACTTACATCACCAAATGGAATGTATTTACCTTTTTTTGTGCAAAAAGAGACATTGCCACTACATGTCAACATTCAGAGAAAATGCTATGATGGAAAGTCTTATAACTAAACAAAATGTTCCTTTGAAATGGGAAAGCAGGTCACGTCTGTTTTCATAAGACACACGAAACGGCCGATCATTAAGAAAATCGTGACAGTCTTTGGGAAAAAGAAGTCAAAGTCATTGAGGTGAAAATGACCAATCGTATCCATTTGATAAACATGACTTCAGATGAGTTCCTCTATGGGAATGAGCGGTTTCCTGCTGACCCATGCATGCCTGAATGCCAATCACAGGTGGTCTTGATGTTGCATAGCACAGAGTGTAACAGTTGTTTGGTCACTGGGCCAAGAGTAGAGGCAGGTCACGTGCCACGAGTCTCTCATGTTGGTGTCGAATTATGAGCCCTCTGTCTTTGTCTCCCCTGTGGCTTCTTTAGGTGGGTCGGTCGAGGATGAACTCTCTCCGCCCTGTTCACCATCATCTGTGCAAAGGCCAAAAATAATCTTTATTAAATGAGGAATATGAATTTGTTTTTAAGCAAACATGTTCATCCAAACTAATTCAAACACAGGGAGCAACATTAGCAGTGCCACATTAAAGTGAATTCAAAAGAAAAGTGGATGGTGATTTATACTATCAAGCTATAAAAAGAGTATATTTGCCAATATAGTTATATTTATTTATTAACCTTTTTAAATGTATATTTAATGATATGTTATAATGTTTTTGGTCTCCCTGAATAATTTATCCTCAGAATACATGTTTTTTGTCTTAAGTATCATTTTTGTTTTTGTCTTGTTTATGTATTTCTATGATGTCATGTGAGTGACAGGTTGTTTCATCCTCTTGCAGTAAATACATCATCAGAGAAGAGATGAGCTGTCCATGCAAGATGGAGGGGAAGTAAGTTTTATTAAAGATTACGAGGACACATGAATAAAAAAAAAAAAAAGATAATATACATTGTACATAATATACATATAATAAACATTGCAATATTCCATAAAAAAAAAATGTCAAAAAATATCAAAATGTTTAAAAAAATATATATTTTTTAAAAAAATTTGATTTCATGGTGACTTTAAGTAGTTTTTTCACTGATAATCTCTAAAACTCTTTTCTGGCTATTTCAACGGATCACATGACATGCCAGAACCAATGGCATTTGGCATTAGAGTCACCAGACCTATGATAGCACATCTAATAGCACTATTTTATTTTTATTCAACACAAGCATCAATGAGATATGAAAGCTTCGGTTGGGAAGAAAAAGGGAAATTTCAGTCTGTTCCACACAAAAGCATTCCATTTGGAAGACTCAAACAGGAAACATTCTGCATAAGTTGTATAAACCAGGGCTTTTCACACATTTTGATGTCCCAGTCCCCTTGCTAAAGTCACCCCTTTAGACAATGACAAGTAATAATTTCATTTATTGACTCTGTATCTCTGAAGAGAAACATAAAATGTTGGCTGTGGAATAAAATAATTGTGATTTCTGATCAGCCTTTAGAAAGAAGAGACAGTAATAATGACAATGTTGGTAACTTTTTTATTGTTAATTATTATTATTAACCCCTTGCACTCCCTTGTGGCTCCCTGTTTGAATATAAACTACTTTTATGATTCTTCTGTGTAGATTTTTGTTTCTTTTTGGAGCTTAACAGTATTAATCACCATCCGATTTCATTTTAAATGAGAGGAAGACCTCACCCTTTTAACTCGGTTGAAAATGTCACAGATCTAATGTTCTTTGCGCTAAAAGACAGTTTTAATCATCACCACTAGATGGCAGTAGAGGTAGTTTTTATTATTCAACAGGACCTTGTATAACAAGAAAGAAAGTCATTCAGTTTGGGAACAGCATCAGGGTCAGTAAATAATGACGGGATTTTTTTTTTTGTTTTTCGGGTGAACTAGCCCTCTAAGACGCTGACTTAGAAACATTATTCTGTTTATTATTTAAAACAGGATAAATAATGTATGATTCATCACTCTCCTGCTGAAAATCTCCACGGTCATAACAAACAACTCATGGAACATCATTTGTTTATGTCCTTGAGGCTTCTGGGTAACACAGAGCAGATCAAAAATGTTTGACTGCAGGCAATTATTGAAGCAGGTTCAGTCATCTGATGCATTTTGAAATCATTTGATCAGAAATGTGTGCTGAATCAAGGTCATTACCTAAGGCATTAAATCGTTGATATCAATCTATCTTTTTTTAGTTTTTTTTTTTTTTTTTTTTTTTTGGAAAATCACAGGTTTTCACCAGCAACCACAGAAACAAAATAATGACTTTCTGACAGCATCTGGTGGCATACAGCCGGCCCTGTGATGACAGCTCGATCACGCAAAAGCACTTAAGTGTGAGAGAGTGCTCCTTTCTCTGTTGAAAAGCACCTTTTAAAGAGAGGTGCTTTCGTCGATCACTGCTTAGTCTCGCACAGGGACGAAGCTCGACTCTGACAACATCATGGCCCGTTTTATATATACACTGTTTGAATTAAATTAGCCTAGTTAACTTGTGCACTGAACTAGTTTTCCGCCCTGTTAATTTTTAATCCCATTGCATAAGTTGTTTAAGCTGTTTAATTACACTGCAGTATTTCATTCTGGTTATATCATTTTATGTACACCATTTATTTCCTTTTTATTAAATCATTGTTAAATTCAACTTTTGTTTCTTTATCAATTTTCTTTGCATATTTTGTTGTGAAAATATTGTGAAATGTCATTACAATATAAAATAAATGTTTTATTTTATTTCAATACAGTTTAAAATGTAATTTAGTTATAGAAAAGTTGAATTTTCAGCAGGATTACTTTAGTCTCACATGATAATATGATATATATGTACATGATGTATATCTCCATCCACAATATTTTTGTGGAAACCAAGTCAGGATTTCTTGATGAATAGAAAGATCAACATAACAAAATTTATTTAAAATAGACATATTTTGGAACATTATAAATGTCTTTAATGTTACTGTTGATCAATAGAATGCATCCTTGCTGAATACAGATATTTATTTAAAAATATTTAAAAAGTAATAGGCTACTTAAAATTCCTTCAATTATTATGTTATTTAGACTAGAGAATAATTATTAAATATTTTAAGGAATCTCTCACACACTTTTTGACATATTTTCTAATTCAAAGCCACTTGCAGAGTGATAAAGCTACTGATATCCAGTGAATGCACCAATAAGTAAGAGTAGTCATATTTCATGTGCTAGGAGGGTTGTTTTCTTTACTTTTTATTAATTTGTATCAAATCCTTTTCATTATTTTCCATATTGCCAAGCCCTGTCCATTAATCTCAATGTATATACCAAAAACATGTGTTTGTGAAACCAGCATTCTCGCAAAGACATATTTCTGATTATCAGCATACATTGAGACTAATGGACATATAACTGTGGCGTGAAGAAGGGCGGGGTCGAGAACCGGGGAAGCAGATTGAGCGACACGACACCGGTCTCGAGGATAAAATGAGTGATGACAGTGGAAGACGAGAAAGGCCCAGGCCTAAGACATTTATGTTGTGTTTTTATGCTTATATGCGACAGTCGTCCATGTGGGGCTGCTGCTTACTTTCGTTTTGCTGTGATTAAACTTTAAGCCTGGAACACACCAAACCGATGGTCGGGCAGTTTTTATGCATCGGCCGACTAAGTTTCCTCGGTTTATTCCGCACGGTTCCGTTCCAGAATATATCTGCAGAAATAGACAGTTGTCTAATTTACACTCAGGCACAGCTGACAGTCGGCAGTAGTTCTCTCGGTGTGTTCAAGTGCAGATTAGTCGTCTTTCATCAGCGCTAGTATGTCGGCGTTGGCTTGGCGCGTTCCAGGCTTTACGTTCATTGTTTGGCAGTTCCCGCCACCTTCTTCCCTGAACTTTGAACATTGTTACAATAATAAGCCCAGTTGAACGGAAAAAAACCAATGCAGGACAACATACAGTACCTCCTACTGAAAGCTCGGCTAGTTTATCAGGTAGGTCAGCGGCTCCTGAACCAGCAGTGGAACCTAGAATATCTGGCAATGCATTCCGCCGGCCAGTCCTGCCCGTGGCTGCAAAGTCCGAGACAACAGGTTCCACATCAGTCATCTCTGGTGGTCTTCATAGCATCATCTGAAACAAACAAAACAAAATGCACTCGCTCAGTGACTGACATATGAGGGTTCAATTTGAGGATTGTTTAACAGTTCAATAGCAGTTCTACACTGTTAAATATAATAATCTTAAAGATTAAGTTTGTAGAATGTTAGATTTTGCTTTTGTTCTACACAAGCATATTAATTGGCCTTAACGTGAAATAAAGAGTAGGCTAAGGTAACGCATACAACTTGATTAATAAATGTGATTTTCAGTTTCCCTTTCACATACTGAGTATTTAATAAAACAGAAAACCAACGGTTCATAACTAGAGTTTTACATTTTTATGAAGAAAACTTAGTTCAGATTTGATATGTGTTTTTTTGGGCATTCTGGGTTCTTAGCCCATTGCTATGTGGTTGCTAGTGTTCTGGGTGGAACTTTCGATTTTTGTTTTACACAAGCAAATTAATTGCTAACTTGAAATATTAGATAAGGTAACTTAGGCTATACAAGGTTGATTTGTATTAGTTTACTTTTCAAAATCTGCATGATTAATAAAATAAATATTTCCATACCCAGGTAGGTCACAATTAGAGTTTGACAATCTCTCTACAAAATGGAATGTTGCTTACCAGTGACAAAATATTGCTGCTATAATGCTAGGGTGTTATATGTGGTTGCCAGGGTGTTGCTATGTGGTTGCTTATGTGCTCTGAGGGGTTTTTAGCCCGTTGTCATGCAGTTGCTATGGTGTTCTGGGTGGTTACTATATTAAAACCCCTATAGGTGTTTACTAACTGACCCAAGTCAAATCAGCCCAAACCCCATTTTTTTATATATAATATTTTTATCCCTAAATAAGACTTGGGTTTCTTCCATCAATGCATATCAAAGGGTTTTTTATGTTAAGCTTTGAAAAATCACAAATTAATATCATATAAACTAACGAATATCCATATAGTGATCAGTGAATCAGCATAACTTTGGGCAATGACAATAGCCCTAAGAGAAACTGATGATATTGTATCTCACTATATCATCGTTGTCCCTGATCAGTCAAGAGTACAAATAGAAGCTGCAGTGTCAAAATTAATGGAGCTTGTTCTCCACTGCATCTCTAATGAGACTGTTCTTCTCAACAGGAAGTGACTGAACAGAGTCACTGACTATTGCTTATCTCCCCACACACTGTCTACAGAACCTTCAGCTGCATTACAGCCTCCCTTAATATCCTCATTGCATTGTCGCTAAAAGCCCTATTGGGGCATTTTCACATGTAGCTTTCTCAATTCCTCATTCAGTCAACCACACTATGCAAGATGAAGTAGCTTTGAGGAATTTGGCCAGAATCCCTCCTCTGTCAAGGAGGCTTGCAAATAACATTCATTGTGCTGGCAGAGATAGAGTTTCCAATCCAAACACTTGGCAATGCCTTCAATCTGCAGACAAACTTGACTGGCGTTTAGTTAAGTGATTGTTTAGTCTGAGCATCGTTAAATCAGACCTGACTCTACATGTAGCCTGAGGGAAAAGGCAGATGGGAATGTGGGAAAACAGACTGACTGATAAATTGCACGATCAGCCCAACCAAATGACCTTTCATTCTCATCCTAAAAAAACAACAACAAAAAAACAGATGGCCTTGCTTATTAGATAAAATATAAGATTAAACAGTGATAATTTCTAGGTCAGTTTCTCTGCAGTCTAATACTGTATCAATTACTGATTCTGTGAGCAACATCCTGATAACTAATCAATATCAAAAAAAAATAAAAATCCTCCACAAATGAGAGTATCCTGCCCAGTTGAAACCATTATTTCAAATTAGACGGCGCCACTGCAGCTTAATCATAAAAATTCCCAATCGATTTCCATTCCTGCTTCACTGGTGCTAAATTTTATGGAATCAAAACATCACTTTTGCTAATGAGAGCTATTTAGCTGGATTTAAGATTGATTTTCTTTACATATTCAATCTGGCCAGCAGAGGGCATGCATTGCATCCATGTAAACTGAGATTTTACATGAAGGAGGCTAAAAATACCCTTTTTATTGTATAGATTCAAAGATATTCTATAAAATCAGTGATGAACTACCATGGCTTTTCTTGCACCCATAAAGTGCAATGCCAATGCAAATTCCCCACAGATGTTTAAACCAAGTCCATTTTAAATGCAAATTCAAAAAGTATATATTCTTTTTGAATTAATTAATTAATTGTATTTTTGCATTTAAATTCAAAATATGAATACATATACTAATATAATATAGCCTATATATATATATATATATATATATATATATATATATATATATATATATAGCCTATATATATAAGCATATTATATTATTCATGTTTTGAATTAACTTAATTTATTTTTATATTTTTTTTATATTTATTTTGAATTGTTTTTAAATTATCTTGAAATTATGTTTTTCATCTAATATTTGTGTTCAATTTTATCGTTATATTTTATTACCTTTTAAATATTATTAAAAAATTTCCAAAATCTTCCTTCCCAATCACTCTTCTACCTGTCTGCTTGATCCTATCCCTGCTCATCTCCTTCAGGCCATTTCTTCTTCAGTTGTACCTGCACTCACTCACATTATCAACACCTCTCTTCACACTACATATCCCACAGCATTTAAGCAGGCTCAGATAACCCCACTGCTTAAGAAACCAACTCTCAAAATCCAGCACTTAAATTACAAAATTACAGACCATTATTTCTTCTTCCATTCGAAGACACTAGAGCGAACTTTGTTCAACCAACTCTACCTTTCTCAAACAGAACAACCTCCTGGACAACAACCAGTCTGGCTTCAACTGAGACTGCCCTGCTCTCGGTTACTGAAGCCCTGAGGCTGGATCTTGTTGGATCTGTCTGCTTTTGACACAGTTAACCACCAAATTCTCCTTTCAACCCTCATGACAAAGGGCATCTCAGGAACTGCACTCCAGTGGTTCAGGTCTTACCTCTCTGATAGGCCTTCAGTGTGAGCTGTCTAAGGGGTGAACTGTCGAATTAGCAACATCTTGCTAATGGGGTGCCTCAGGGCTCAGTGCTTTGACCACTTCTCTTCTCCATTTACATGTCATTAATGGGATCTCTCATTCGGAAACATGGTTTGCGCACAACTCTACCTCTCATTCCAAAAAGATGATCTTAGCTGCTCGCATCTCAGCCTGCCTGACAGACATTTCTGGCAGGATGAAGGACCACCATCTTCAACTCAACCTTACGAAGACAGAGCTGCTTGTGGTCTCAGCCAACCCAATACTTCATCACAACCTCTCCATTCCACTAGGTTAATTAACCATAACTCCTCCCAGGACAGCCAAGAACCTTGGAGTTGTGATTGATGATCAGTTAAGCTTCACAGACTATATTGCTACAACCTGCAGATTTGCCTTAGACCACATTAGGAAGATTAGTCCTAATCTATCCAGACTGGACTATTGAGATGCTCTCTCGGCAGGCCTTCCAGCATGTACTGTCAAACCTCTGCATCCGTCTGATTGCAACTGTCAACCTTTTCCTTGTCTGATCCTTGCTGGTAGAATGACCTGCCTAACTCAATTAAAGCAGAGTCTTATGCCATTTTCCCCCCAAAAAAACAAAAAACGGCTGAAAACAGCAAGAATCGTTTTCGTCAACACATGACCCATTAGCTCTAACTTGTTATATTCTACTCTGTTTTATTTATTTATAAAAAAAAATAAAAAAAATTGCTACATGCACTTTGCTAACCGGGACTTGACACAACACTTACATACTGTTGCCCTCTTGTTGATTTGATTGCTTCTATTGTTCTCATTCGTAAGACGCTTTGGACAAAAGCATCAATGTACATTTACATATCATTTAGCAGACACAAGCGACTTGAGGAGGAGAACAATAGAAGCAATCAAACCAACAATAGGGCAACAATATGCAAGTGCTGTGACTAGTCCATAGTCTAGCACAGTACCCCAAGCAAGGTTTTTTAATAGATATAGAATAGTCAGTGTTAGGATATATGGGTCAAGTGTTGCTTTTAAAAAATGCGTTTTTTAAGCAAATGTAAATGTAATGATTATTTTTAATAGTTTTAGTTAACGGTAACAACACGGAAGCATAATTATATTAGGTAAAAAGAAATCAGAAATCAAACATTCATGTCTAAATATGGTCATTGAATGGAGTGTCATGTCACCTTTTCAATAGAATGGATTTTCAAAATGTCAAAGCTGCTCATGCATGATGATCCCTTACAATCATGTTCTACTGCAGTCTTGCTTGATTTATTAACATTCATATCCTGAAGCATCTAGCATGCTAAATAAAACCTCAAGACCAACACATCATACACTTTTTTTCCTTTAGTCATGTCTCGTCTTGTCAAGGGCACCATGTGTGTTAGGTCTGCAGTGGTACCCTCTCAAAAATGAATGGGTGCATGACGCCTATGCATTCTGCCGTGAGAAATAAATGTAACATCAATCAAACAGTCTTCTTCCTTATTTCATCTGCTCTGTCTCTGAGTGTGAAGATCTAGAATGATAAGCGAGAACAAATTTTGCAAAACTATAGCCTACACTCTTTCTTTTTAAACCTTAACACAGCTCCTTAAACAGGGTATAACCACTTCTAATGTATATTTTTCTTTTCTTTTTTTGTTACTCTTGCAAACTTGAGCTAATTGATTTTTAACAGATATAATTTTACAACAGTAAGATTGAAATATGACTTTTGAAATGGTAAATGAATGGTTATATGCGTCTCGGTCAGTGTGGTAAAAGCCTTCGCCGGAGGCCTAATAATGAAGAAAACATTGCTTGGAAATGTGACAGATTTGCATGCTTCAGTGCGAATTGTTTGGTCGGATCTTGATTCTTGATATTGAGAGATATGTGGGACACCAAATCATCAGAGACATCTGCTGCCACTGCATTAGCTCAATGTTACTGAACAGCATAACAAATAAATATAAATTAGTGCTAAATTAAAAGAAATCGATTAAAACTGATCAACACGAAAGGACGAAAA